ACAAGAGGAAATTTATAGATTTTCTTCTTATAAAAACAATACCATTTTATGATTTTCATGTATGATTTTAAAAGATACCACGTATTCTATTCTAAAACTTTATCCACAACCTGGGAGTTAAAAAGAAACAGAAGAAAAACTTAGATTAACGCGCAAATAACAACTAATATTGTAATGAAAGTAAGATAAAGTCTTAATCTCGTATTAGAAAGGACTTGTATCTTCCCTCGCGAGGTTTACCCTGTGTACTCAAAAGAGCAAGATAAGAGGAAAATAATTCTGTAACTGTTAGTGTCAATTCTACTTTCACCATAATATTTACTATTTCACTTAAGTAGTAGAACTTGAAGCCTACGTGACGTTGTACTCGAGGTACAGCACGAGCCATATCGTAGCGAAGAAGCTTCGGTGTAGAGTGGAAAGGTGTGATTGAAATCGATAATCATTAATTACGAAATGTTCGTATGACACCGTTGTAACTGAGAAGCCGCGATGTTCGTGACTTCGTCGGCTTATGCGCCAACTAACTAATGTGGTTCAATCAAGTATTGACCAAGGCAGCTGAATACCCTGACGCAGCTCTAGGAGACATTACTTTACAGCCGGGGCTTTTAAGCCAATTTCACGTCGGGTTTCTTCGCTCTAATACCCAACCCAGCACGTGACCACGCGAACGGCAATCGGTGATTGTTTACGATTGGTACCCTTCGCCTAAGGTATCGAACCGTAAAACCCAAAGACGAGTGGTTCGTTTTAGCGGAGAAACCAGACCGTAATCGAGAGTGGTAGCCATGATTCGCGACGAAATTGACAATACTTTCGAAACGATTGGCGAGAACATATTTATAGAGGGAGGCATCGATCTGTGAAATTGACAGGATTCTCGTATTCTAGGTCAAAGGCACTAATTCCTCGTTGTTTGCGGCAAGTAACTATTCTCAGAACAAATGTTCGAAGGAAGAAATGGCACTCGTAAAAATGTAAACAAGGATATTTACTTTCTTCTATAAATCTCGAAATTTAAAATAAACTTGAGCTTCGAGGAACGAATTCTGGGGTAGTTGAAGTTTTCATGAGACAGTGATCAAGATAGACTCCTTTCGGGGATTCGTAGTATATAAATAAAATAATGGTTCTCAATTTGAACTCTTCCAATTCAGAGCCTACCAATGTTAAGCAATATCTGGATAATATATCTTTAGCATTGACGATATCGTTACTTATTTATGAATTTTATCTTCGACCAATAATAAATGTAACAGATATCCAAAAATTAGCGTATGCCAATCTAATGATTCATTAAGCAGTGATTAAGTATTAAAAGTCATAACGATTGTTTCAATGATATCACCAAGGAAAGTACTATTTAAATTCTTATCTAATGTTGTATTTCACAATTAAAATATACCAAATCATTTCAAGTAATCAAGTTTTGATTATTTTCAGCCTCGATCACAATACTTCTAACCTAGGATATATTTTTACCTGTGATCATAAATTTATCAAAAATTCGAATTATTCTGAATTAATAACACCAAGGTAGAGTATTCAGAAAGTGCACCGAAGCATCAAAATTAAACTGAAATAACACCGTCAAGAAAGAACACCATGTTATTCTCGAAATCCATTTTGAAAGTGGTTATGCAAAGTCAACTGCAGTAGAGGTATAGAAAGTCAAATTCGTAATGGTTCGAGTATTGGTGGGATACGTAGCAGGAAAGCATTTGCATGCTCGAAGCACATATATGCACTTGACAAAACGTTTCACACGGTTCGATGTACATTTCCATTTAATCTATCGGTGTTTAGAATGCAGAATCACAATTTCACACGCAACTGTCCTATAAATACGAAGTGAAACAGACATTTGTACATTTAACACAATTCGCGTCGTTGAACTTATCGCGTGGAATAATTAACACCTGCGTGTGCACGTTTACGAGATTATGAAATTATCTGTGTACATTAGCGTGTCTTGTATTTCCATTTCAAAGCAATATGGAAATTTTAATTGCAGTTTTAGGAAAGGAAACAACTGAATATTGTTTGAAATGAAAACAATTGAACATATTTCGCGGAGGCCTATAATAACTGTTTTCTATCCAACAACTACTTCTGTTTAGGAACAGTTGTCCTCAGAAAATGATCCTCTATTGAACTCACCATAAGCATTGAAACTAATTGCATGAAAAAATAGTATACTTCTGAAATTCATTTGTCAATTATTATTTATTATTTCAAACGTCATTCAAAAGACTGGCAATTATTGGAAAAATTATTGTCACAAAAATCAGAGGAGAAAAATGAGAAAATACTTGAAAAATTAGGAAGATATAAACGATGTTAAATGATATCAGGACGCTTAGAATTTTGTTGCTCATTTAAAATTTATATTGTAATAGACTGCAGCTGACTCTTATGATCCATAAATGTCCTGTTCAATTTCGTATTACAAACTGACATTCGAAACCATGAGTGGCTTCGATCTTTAGGTGGCTTCATCCAGTAACACAGACCACCTATTATCATATCTAGAATACTTTTTCCTACCCTTGCAGAACAAGAAAAAATATATTTATATTTTTATTACTTCCACATGTAAAACGTGTATGAATCTATTTTTTTAATTTATTAAAAATTATTTCTTCGGTTTATTCAACCTTGACTTTAATTCAAAATAAAAAAAATTTTTAATTTATAATTATGTTTCCCATAATAACTGCAGTGTTTGGTGTATTTTTTTAAATTGATCTGATCTAATATTTATTGTTAATATTGATATTCGTTAAGTAATTTTGCGTTAACTAATCTCGTAATTAAGTTAAATTACATGCATGCCTTACAAACCTTAATTTAGGTAAACTGATATTAAAGAATTAAAATTCATCATTTTTAGCCTCGCCACAACAGAAATAAAATATATAAAAAGCGTGGACACACTTTTAATTTTAATACATTACCACATAAAGTGACTAAATTTGTATTTTCTAAATCGTGTCAAACTTGAACTAAAATGCATTTATACAATGTTTGAATGATGTCCTCTGTTAGACATACAGTCGCAAACTGGCTTAAGAAAAAATTTAGTAATCAGTTATAAATTATTGAATCACATACCATATCAAACTTTTACAAAGGACTTAATTTGTATTCGAAATTATAATTTTACCTATTCCGTAAAAATCAAACGAGTAGCGTTATGTAACTGACCTTCCTTTGCACAACAAAGAATATCAAACTCACGTTGAACGTATAAGTCTACTGGAATTATTATGGCATTAATATCGAAACCGTGGATAGAAATGACAGAAATTCAAACGGCATGGTCTTCTTACGAGACCTATTTCTGAGCGCGAGCAGAAGTGCGCCGGTCTTACCGAGCCCAATCCTATTAAGGGGTTAACAGGTATCTAGTTAGAAAACGAACGACCCAGTCGTATCTCGCACCTGGTCAGATGAACAGTGTTCGTTAATATCACTTGCACTTAAATGAGGTGCCGAGATTTTTGAATTCCCGAGCGCGAGTCACAGTTACCGAAATGGGCGACATAATTGGTTAGTAAGAATCCACGTATCCAAGAACCTCGTCGAAGAATAATTGCGAAAGTGTAGTGGCAATAATCTAAGTATCTGTATTAAAATCTTCGCCATAAAGTTGGCACGCAATTGTCGCCAGTACGAGGGTGAATTCTGACGAAAAACAATTTCGGATCGCAGTGAATTCTTTTTCAACACGTAGAACAAAAAAGTTGCAAACCATTCCTGATCATAGATAATGTGAAGACATCGAACAGGGTGTCGGTTTAACAATTGCAATGGATTTTTGTGGGTTTTGGGAGATTAACGAACGAAATTCTGGCGTCTGTTTATTAAAAAAGGGACATGAGAAGAGAAGAGAAATTGTAAATTGAATTATTATAATAAGATATAATATCGTGTTACGTAATCGACTTTGCTGACTTATAGAGTACCTTGTATTAACTGAATTATAAAATGACTTTGCAATTTTAAGGTTCTTTCTGAACTAGGATAGGTGTTTATGAAGTTATTTAATTAATAATCGTGTAAACGTTTGTTGCCAAACTTATTTCATGTTTATGTGTAATATGAAATACAAAATATAAATATATTATAGCATATAATACAGAATATAAATATATTTAACCCTCTATAGCCCAAATTATGTTAGACTTCCGAATAAATTCTACGATAGAGTCATTAATAAACATTAATAATGGTATATAAATTAAAAGGAAAATTTTCATCTATACTCGCCCTTGTGTGAGAAGTTGCAAGACAGTTATTACACTCAGATCGTTTGTAGAGCATTCGATTGCATCACAAAAATAATAAATACATATCAATGATGGAGTTAAATCAGAGATCAAGAGTGAGAATAACATAAATGTGCATAATAGAACGTTAAATTTCTATTCGTGTTAAGTTCCAAAAATGTATAAATTCCTTAAAAGACCATTTCCCACAAGGTTTCGTTTCGAGACGTCTTTTTACCACCTATCACATATACGTATAGCACTAACAACTTTTCTTCTTGCGGTTCACCGCAACTTTCTACGAGGCTTGATCTAGGAATTGCTTCATTACTTGAGTTTCCATTCATCGACTATAAATTTGCTAATAACTGAAGGGTGGAAAACACTAACAGTGTAATTTTCCAAGTAATCGATAATAACTTTGCCCGTTATACTATAATAAAGTTTCTCTTACCAACTGAACGGGCATAAAAATGATTTCTAACGTTTCCACTCTACTCATGCGTTCGTATTTCTTAATAACGAATTTTCACTAATAATTTACACGACCTTTGCTACGACCGACTCGTGTCATTTGAAACAAAAATTATTGCCTTCCCTTACTAACAGCATTAAATAAAAAATTTTTTTAAAGTATTCCAAAATAATCGCATTTCCACTGCTTGAAAACCAACGCTTCGTAAATCCTTCATTTATTGTAATTATTTTTTAACTTTGCTATTGCAGAAATGACCGGTGGTGGGACCAACATGGCGTATCACGGTCTCAGTCAGCATGTAAATTTCGACGCGATTCCCGATCCTGGGGATCGTTTCGTTTTGGAGGAATTGATCGGCGAGGGGACGTACGGGGAAGTTTATTCCGCGCAATGCAACGAGACTGGCAATAAAGTCGCGATTAAGATACTGGAGAATGTTGCAGACAACATCGAAGAAATCGAAGAAGAGTATCTCGTGTTAAGGGATCTCTGCCTGCATCCGAACATTCCACACTTTCATGGTTTATTCTTGAAACGAGCGAAACCTGCCCAGGAGGAAGATCAATTATGGTTCGTCATGGAGGTATTGTCGCTCTAATTTTCGTCTCGCAATACAAACAGGAAAGCGTAACGGATATGCAATTTGGAAGATACATTCCATATCTTTCAGTATCTCAACACTTTACCCGCGGCCATTTTCGTGGCGAACTTATGTTAATGTAGTACTTCTTTTTTTACGCATATGCAGAAGATTTTCTAAAATGTTTAACTGCCCTGGTCAACTTCTTTAAATATTACGTAGGATAATCTGTTTTACGTTATATCTTTGGTAATTTTGAAATGTTGTGAACATAATTTAATAGAAATATTTTAGAAATCTTGAGCAACAAAAACATTAACCAAAACAATTTGTTTTTTAACCTAGTTTTAGTTCTACATTAATTTACCAAAATGGTGGATAAAAATATCTGTTTAATATAGAATTTAAAAAATGATTGAATGTAAAGGCACAGGATCAATTTCTACACCCGATATTTCATTTTACTTTATGATCTATACTCGCTATAAAAATTAGTTCCAAATAAAAAGATCTATACTTCCAATGGTTGATGAAAGGATGGTAAACATGTGTTGAAGAACAATGACAGTCGAAAATACCCGCCAGTAAAGTGTTGACAAAAAAAATATATAAATAAATAAATATCGCCTCTTTCTATCCCTCGTCGAGTTTTCCAATTTAGTACTGTCTTCGCGACACAACACAAATAATAAATTAAAGATTTCGGTTTCAGTTGTGCACCGGTGGGTCGGTGACCGATCTCGTGCAGGGTCTCAAGAGAAAAGGAAGACGTCTAACGGACGATCAAATAGCTTACATCCTCAAAGAAACAGTAGAAGCGTTAATTTATTTACACAGCAATCATTGCATGCACCGTGACGTTAAAGGACACAACATTTTACTCACCGAGGAGGCACGAGTAAAACTGGTTGACTTTGGCGTGTCCTCGCATCTTGCTGAAACGCTGGCGAGGAAGAATACATCTGTCGGCACGCCGTACTGGATGGCGCCTGAGGTGAAGTACAAATTAACAAATTATTTCGTTAAGATACATTTAAAATCATGTATTTTTGCCACCTCTAAATGTATCTCAACAACAAAATTTATATATCAAGTTCAATGTTTAAATCTTGAAAGAAAATTCTTGAATTTTGGCTATGGCAACTTCGTGTATCTTCTTCCCGTCTAAACTATCGAAACAACTACACAAAAGACTTGACCCTCTATGGGCTCGCGTAACTTTCAAATCACATGCTAATATATCGAGGTTTAAATGGTATTATTTTAGTAAATAATTTTAGTTTTTTCACAAGACGACGTATACGTCGCAATTATATAATATCTCTGATAACCAATAATAATATTGATGGCGGTTGGCAGCACCATCAACCTGAAATATCAAACTAATCCCTTGCAAGTTGTTTGCGGAAAAAATTCGGCCCATAGCAGGTTAAGAATGTATCTAAAAAAATATCTTCTCTCGAGCAACCATGCGTTTCACTATAATCGACTCCAGAAAATGCAAACATCGAACAGGTAATAGCCTGCGAGCAACAACTGGACTCCTCCTACGATTCTCGCTGCGACGTGTGGTCGGTTGGGATCACAGCCATCGAGTTAGCAGAGGGTGACCCGCCCCTGTCCGAGCTTCACCCCATGAGGGCACTGTTTCAAATCCCAAGGAACCCACCTCCAGCTTTGAAGAACCCCGACGCTCATTCGCCGGAGCTGGTGGACTTCATCACGGAGTGTTTGGTGAAAGATCTCGAGCATCGACCTTTCGCCAGCGAATTGAAAGAGCATCCTTTGTTGGTGAATATCGAATCGAAGATGGACAAGATCAGAATGGAACTGAGGGAAGAGATTCGTCGACAGAGAGCTTTCGGTAGGGTTCACAGGCAACCGGAAGTGACAACCAAGCATGGAAAATTGAAGACTGATCGGAAAACCAGACCAGAGAAAATGTACATGGATGACCTGGCTGCTCTGGACATGTTGTCCGAAGATGGGATTGTTGAACAATTGCAACACAGATACGAACAGGGTCAGATATACACGTACATCGGAGATATACTGGTCGCAGTCAACCCTTTCACGAATTTGGGATTATACACGGGAATTGTAAGTGATAAGATATAATAACGGGTTATAGAATTTGTGTGTAGTAAGTTGGAAGTTCTAAACTTACAGGAATTTGCAACGAATTTTTTTAAGTGGAAAGAATGTTTGATGTTAGCTTATTAGTGTATGGGGGTGACACGATTTGTTTGCAGTAACTTCCAAGATTGAGACTTCCAGAAATTAAAATTCTTACGAGAATAGAAAGCATGACTTTAGTCGTTTAAATGTTCAAATATTTTTAAATGTTCAGATAATAATTTCTGAAGACTGGTTATTTATAAATTTGTACAATCGAAAATTCCTTGATCGTGAAATCGATATCCTGAGACTGTTTTACCTTCTGCAGGAGCAAAAGAGGTACAAAGGTCAAGCGAGGTCGGATAATCCGCCTCATATTTTCGCTGTCGCTGACGCTGCCTACCAAGCATTGCTTCATCAGCGACAAAATCAAGCGATTGTTATCAGCGGTGAATCCGGAGCAGGGAAAACCGAAAGCGCCAATTTGTTATTGAAACAACTAGTCTACCTAAGCAAGGCTCCGAATCGTAATCTGGAAGAAAGGATTCTTCAAATAAATCCTATAATGGAAGCTTTTGGTAACGCAACTACTGGGATTAACGCAAACTCGTCGAGGTTTGGAAAGTATTTGGATTTGACGATGACTAAAGGTGGGAAGGTTACTGGCGCCAGAATATCCGTGTACTTGTTGGAGCAGTCTCGAGTAGTGGCTCAAGCAGAGTGAGTAGCTTACGGTTAGACTGCTGATGTTCATGCAAATGCATATTTTTATAGGAATATAAATCTATTATAGGGACAATAAAATAGGGGTTGTATAGAAAGAAGAATGTTGAAAAGTGGTCAATTTTGGGATAGATCGGGTTACTCTAAATTATTGATAAAGCATCGTTCGTTAGGTTCGCATGGTGAAAAATTGGAAATCGAAATTTGGAAAGATTCACCTGACGTGAACAGAAAATATCGATACATTTACTGATACTGATAACATTGTAGAACAATCATTGTACTCGTTACTATCTGATCCTTCAGAAGATGACAGCAAATATAACTCGACTATACTAGAGCCTATAATATTATTGCATATTTATAATGTGCTGATTAGATACTTCACATGTTTTTTGCATATGCTATTACACTTGTGCATATGTCCGTATGATTTTATATTCATATGATTTTATATTATATTAACATATGTTATTTGCATATTTTTACATGTTTAGAATGAACGTCCAGAATCTATTTACATTTCACATACTCACAATTAATTTTGAAAGTAATTCCATCAGCTCATAATTTAATTCCTACGTTCCGAACAAAATTCTTTCAGAGGCGAGCGCAACTTCCACATATTCTACTACATGTACGATGGCCTAGAGGCAGATAATCGCCTGTCAGAGTTCTACCTAGACGAGAACCTTCGAAAACAGCATCGATACCTCACGGATCACAGCCAAACATCTCAGGCGCATATCGACAAATTTCAACAGTTGAAAAATGGCTTCAAACTGCTCGGGTTTCAAGACGGCGAGGTTGATACAGTCTACCGAATTCTGGCTGCCGTGCTTCATCTCGGTGATATTGAATTCGGCGAGGTGGCAAGCGAGGACAATACTGATAATAAGAGTCGAGTAATTGATACAGCACCTTTACACAGGGGTAACTATGTACTTTCATTTATATAATGGCGACCAACTACATACTTCAGACCGGTTGATGATTTTGGTAATTAATACGATTGATCTATGTTATGTGAAACGAATAATTAATACACAGTATCAAATAAGAGTATGTTAAACTAATTTTATTTTCAACTCACAAATAACAAGCATTTGATATAATTTAAAATGTTAATATCTTTGTAGACAACTCCTCCATGCAAATTTTTGTAACAAATTATAATAAAATATGACTAATTTTATACAATGTCAGTCGACCTTACAATCGAAACTGTCAATCGATCTTAAGTAGCTGACCGCCAGTGTAAATTTACTCGCTTCGAGCGTATTTCTGACCTCTTCAAATACATTCCAGTTTCCCAATTACTCGGTGTGGAAGAGAATGATCTTCTGGAGGCCTTAACTTCGAACTCGGTTATGACCAGAGGAGAAACAATCACGCGGAACAATACAGTAGCGGAGGCCTGCGCAGCAAGGGACGCCATGGCAAAAGGACTTTACGGTCGATTGTTCGACTGGATGGTCAATCAAATCAACTGTTTGCTGTGCTTCAATCGTTCCCCGAACTACGAGCCGTTGGCCATCGGTCTTCTCGACATTTTTGGCTTCGAGAATTTCCCTAGAAATTCCTTCGAGCAGCTGTGCATAAACATCGCCAACGAGCAGATACAGTATTACTTCAATCAACATATCTTCACCTGGGAGCAGCAGGAATACATGGCGGAAGGGATACCAGTGGATCTGGTCGAGTTCTCAGACAACAGACCAGTGTTGGATATGCTGTTGAGTAAACCTATGGGACTTTTAGCCCTTTTAGACGAGGAAAGTCGATTTCCTAGGGCCACGAATAAGTCTTTAATCGGTGCGTTGCCATTTCTCTTCTGTAGTAGCCTTTCTTGGGTTGCTTTAGGGAGTGCATGCAATTATTATAGTCAAAATTCATAATTTTTTTTCTAGGTTTAAATATACATTTTAATCCAAAGCAATGCATAATTTTATAGTATAAGTAACGAACCTAATATAGGCTTCGAATTAGATTAAAATATTTAAAAAAAATTCCTGAATTTTGGTTATAACAGCCGTATGTACTCTATTTAAGTAACTTGTTTCCCTTTGCAGTGCCCCATTTTGAATTTCAGGCAAATGCAATAATAATAATCATGGTTCGCTATTAGTCTATACGAGAATCGTAATTTATGTTACAGAGAAGTTCCACAGCAACATCAAATCGAAATTCTACGTACGGCCGAAATCGGACGCGGTTTGTTTCGCCGTTCACCACTTCGCAGGACGCGTGGTCTACCAAGCAGAAGGATTCTTGGAAAAGAATAGAAACTTCTTGCCTCCTGAAGTCATTCAGCTGGTCAGGCAATCTCAGTACGATATGGTTCGCTTTTTGTTCCAATGCCCCATCACGAAAACTGGAAACCTATATTCTGCGGTACACGAGACTGACTCGAGGAAGTTGTCACAATCCAACCAGAATACAAAGGTAATTACAAATCATCCATTATTCTAAAATCTGTTATCCTAAAAATATTAAAATTATATATAGTAATCTACTAATATCACTTTTTTAATTAATTAAAAAGTAAAAGAGGTTTCCCTGTACCACACTGTCCAGTTGGAAATATTATTCAACCGCAATGAAAATTATAAATAAATAGCGGTCATTTGATATCTCCATCGATCGAAATTGACCGCAAATAATTTCTACCGTTAAATCATCTCAGGAACGTTACTCCAGTCGGGGATTGGCGTCGCAATCCAGAGCCCAACAAACGGTGGCTACGTACTTCCGGTACTCGCTAATGGATTTGTTGCAAAAAATGGTATCAGGATTGCCGCAATTCGTGCGCTGCATAAAGCCAAACGATTCGAGGAGTCCCCGATTCTTCGACAAAGAAAAGGTCGTGAAACAGCTACGGTACACAGGAGTACTGGAGACAATAAGAATTCGACAGAACGGCTTCTCGCACAGAATACCATTCAACGAATTCTTGAAGAGGTGCGTACTAAGACAAATTTTCTTTCACTTCAGGGTATAAGTTAAATATAAATACACTGAAACCACCATGAATGCTTGTAACATGTCTTCTATTTAGTTTCAAAGCAATTAATTCTTTTTCTTAGACTTTCACATAAATACTAAAATATTCTTCACAGATATTGCTTCCTGGCATTCGGCTACGACGAACGAGTAGTAGCTAATCGCGATAATTGTCGGCTTCTTCTCATCCGCTTAAAGATGGACGGATGGGCGTTGGGCAGAACGAAAGTTTTCCTCAAATACTACCACGTCGAGTTTCTGTCGAAAATGTACGAGGAGCAACTCAAGAAAATCATCATGGTTCAGGCGTGCGTTCGTCGATGGCTCGCTAGGATCAGATTCAAGAAGCAGAAATGGCAATTCGCCGTATCCGTTGTCACTTTGCAACGGCACATTCGCGGATGGTTATCGAGAAAGCACATGATAGAGGAACTGAAGAAGAAGGAAGAAGATGAGGAAGCCACTGCTCTCCAAAAAGCGCAAGGTAATTGGCTGATGTGTGCATAAATTTCACTCTAGTGGAAGAACAGACTAGAGTTGAAGAAATATTCTATAATAATGCTAGAATATATAGAAATAATGATTTTTGTGCCCTTTGCTCGAATTTTTTAATAAAATCTCAGTCATTCTGTATTGATCTTTCAAAGTTGAAATTTCTCTTCAGAATAACTTCATCTCAATTCTACAACAATTTTAAACCCAAGAATCCTTGAATACTAATTATATACTATCTTTACTCGTGTATCTGTGATAATTCTATTGATAAAGTTTGGTAAATGTTTTTGGTACAGATGAACTGGCGGAAAAAGCAAAAGCCGAGGAGCAGCCTGAAGAAGTCGCCGAGAAAGTCCAGAAAGAAGCCTTGCAAGAATCCGACGCTGCCGTCATCATCCAGAGCCGTAAGATATATTAAAAATTCATTTAATACTTATCAAACGAGTGCGTTGGGTAAACAAACTTCGCGAAACTCTGAGTAAACTTTCTTTTTGAAATTAAAGCGGAGTTTTCGAATTTTTACAGATTTCAGGGGCTACACTATCCGAAAGCGTTTCGGTCCTGAACTAGAAGAACGCTTTAAGAGGATCTTGAACGGTCACAACGATAAATTCGAAGCTCACAAAGCGTTATTAAGGGAGGGTCTTAAGAACGCAGACGCCGCGTTCATTGTACAGCGATGGTATAAGAAAGAAGAGAAGGTTAAGAAAAGGAAGCCACCTCCGAGAGATAATATTCATCCTAAGCTAAGACAAGCAGATCTCATACAGTTCTCTCAGAACGTGAGTACAAGATTTACGAAAACTCGCTTTAGTTGTTGCAATAACTTCGTTAGATTTAATTTCAAAGATTTTAGTATATTTCGGCGACTAATGACCTCTAAACATAACATTGTAAAATAGTAGAAAGGAATTAAATCTAAATTAACTAATAAACCAGACAAACGATCGCGTAGATGTCAGAAGAAAATAAAATGTTTCTCTGATTAGTGTAGATATTTGACAAAACATCATGAACTGAACTAATATTGGTAAACGTAAATATGAAATAGAAAGTTATGATTGTCATTTTTAATTCATCTGTTCAATATTTAGTACCTTTCTTTAATTTATAACTTTTACAGAAAGAGTGATTTTGTATCTCTCATTGAATGTTTTACAATTAAGATTGTAGACCATTCTCTGGAGGTCATGGCAATAATCAAAAATGTTATATTTAATAAATATAAAGTTTCCAATGACTACTGCGAGTTTCGAAAATTTTTTACAAGCATATTACTTCACTTGTTACGATGGTTCATTTAATTCGACTTAGTCATAATTTGATTCTATCCTGTTTTCATCGAAGGTTCACATGAAGAACCAAGAAGTGCACAAAAATCAACGTCGCAATAAAGTAGGAGTGCGATTGAACGACATCGACGAACCGCCACCGGATTATATTCGCCCCGAAGGATTCAGCATGGTGCAACCCATCATGCAGTATCGAAGCGGCGCTCAAGTGGAAGGAGAGGAGACCATCAAGTACTATCACGACCTGAAGAACGAGATGAGCAGGTAAATACATATTGTGTCATATCGAAATCGATTGACCGGTTTCTTCTTTCGCGGACGAATGGGAAATTCGAATGCTCAATTTTCGAATGGTTTTGGCACTCGCATCGGAAGTGGTTCGGACTTCGAAGACGACGAAGTTGGCTGGGACTTACCGCTGATACAGCTAGAAAATGACCTTCACCCATTGTCGAGGTATATCGTAGATTTTAAAGAATTCTTAATATCCTTGATCTCTTATATTCCCCAAAAAATTTGTTAAATCATATTAAAATACTAAAACGTATGCGTAATATGTTTATTCTGAAGTAGTACACGTATGCCGATAAATATTTAACTGCAAATTTGCTTGTATTGTAAGAAGTTGAGGCTCATCAACGTTTTATCGTACATTTTTAATTTCTCAAACATGATGAAGTGCGGATCGAAATGATTGGTTGTTCAAGGAAAATTATAAATTTTCTATTTGCAGTAGTTTAAGTAAGCTTAAGAGATTGCTAGAATGCTTCCAATCGTGTCTTTTTCAAAATATTGTAGCTTGCGATTAAATAAAAGCAGTGGTCCACGCGAAGGGGGACGTCGCGAATGATATAACGAATATCGCGTAGTTGGATGTTTGTTTCATACGAAAATGGCTATAATTTGGCCAACTTTGCAGGAGTCGAATGGGTCAAATTGTGGAAGTGAACGCCGAGAGGAGAGACCGTTTGGATGCCCAAGGCGATTACGCGATAGCTTCGGAGCAACAGCTCTCGGATATATGGCTCAAAGCTTTGAGAAATCCAGGCGAGACGAACCAACAAGAAGAGAACTCGAACAGAGCGAGGTAAGCTCAAACTTTCTCTACCATTGAGTCGCTTATTCCGTCCTTGTTCCAATTTTCAGTTCCCGTTTGAACTGTAAACCGTTCCTTCGACGACCAGTTAGCTTCCTTTAATTTATTTCTCCAATTCAGAGTTCACTAGTTTCTAATAGGCAACAAAGTATCGCTGATCAAACAATCGTAACATAGTGATTGAGTTACTAATCTTTTCGTTGTGTTTCTATACTTTGCCAGAGGTATCATGGCAAACTTCCAGGTAAAATTATAAAATTATGCCCTCCGTAGATTTGATTTCATTTAGAAATTCCGTATGTAGTCGTTAATATATAATGAAAGAAGTCGGTTGTGGTCTAATGAAACGGTTACAGCGAGGGAATCGTATGAGAACGAACACGGATAACTTAATAATACCTTCTTCATGAGATATAGTTGAGATATTAGAATAGTTAGAAAAGAAATATAGGACACGAGCATAGTTGAACATTTCGGCAAAAAGAGAATGTTAAATACTGGTCGATTTTGGAGCAAGTGGTTTCGGGGATTTATATGCTAACAATTACTATCGGTAAATTCGATGGGAATGTTATTGAAAAGCTGACGAAGTAAAAGCTGATCTTCGTGTGAATTTGTTCTGCGTAAAATATACATATAGACGGTGTTTGAATTTTTATATTTCATTCATTTGTTTAAAAAATACGATTCCTAATTTTTCGCCATGTGCATTATTTATTTCACCTACGATAAATAATTGTCAATTTATAATTTCTCGAAATCTAAAGACGCCTTATAAATACATTGACTGCCAGGCCAATAATAATCGCAAAAATTCCTACGAGGCTAAAATTATCTTCTTATGCAATTAAAAATGATATAATCCTACATTTGTGGTAGTACTTATTTTTGTAACTTCTTTAAAATTTACTAATACTATCCAGATTCACCTCCTTTGAGACCTGACCTTCAGAATTAATTTATTTTATTCCATTTGTGAAAATCTTTGTCAGCGTTATACATATGAGTGACGTGACGGCCAACGTGTTCATAATTTAAGTGTTCTAGCTACCCCAAAATTGACCGCTGTTTAACATCCTCCTTTAGAATACTGTTACTAAACACAACTTTCATATGTTAGAAGAACCTTTGTTGCGTTAATATACTGTTTAGTCGCGTCACTATCCCAATAACTCGAGTACCGCGATATCTAGATACCGAAGTTACGCGTTCATATTAATTCTTTACCATCAACCAGTAGCTTTGAAATCAATAATCGAATAATTGCTGCAGCAATTTAATTGGAGGAGACTCTTTCCTTACAGTACACGGACTAATCACGTGTCTGTCAACAACCTGCGGTCCCCTGAGCCCCATCCGCACCGCAAGCAATCTGGAGTCAACTCTTCGAATATCAACGATTCAATTGGCCTACGATCTAAATACGCCAACAGACCGAACGGTATAAACGAACATCAGCAATCAATCAATGGTCATCAGCGCAACGTCAACGGATGTTCCGCGAATGGACACCAAAACTTATCCAATGGACACTCCAGTTTTGCAAATGGACATCCAACATTTGTTAACGGCCACACAAATCACAATCACACAGCGTTGAACAGACACGAAGCCCAAACTAACGACCATTCCGCGAAAGGTGATGTGGCTAAGGTCAATGGTCACCAACCTTACAGCAACGGGCATCGAAGTATCATCAATGGTTGCCAAAATGGCCTATTCGTCAACAAAATGGTCGCTAACGGGTTCACAAGTCAGAGAGAGGATTCAAGCGGTCAGTCTGGATTTAACAACGGGGTCAAGAATAATTTCAATGATCGCATGAAGATAATTGAGCCTGCGAAGGAGAACAGCGATTTCGAGAAAGGTCGACGAAACGGAGTGGACTGTAAGAATGGAATCAATCGAACGGTTGCCAATCAAAACGCTGTGAGCGGTCGAGTATGTGCGAGAAAGGAATTGGGGAAGGACACGTTCGGTATTCCAGCTGATCTTAGACAACTCCTGAGGCCCACCATCATTCAAAAACGTCAGGAGATCATCAAAGTCGATTACGATCCAGAAGACATTAACGGACCATATAATTTCAGACAGCTTTTAAGACCAGCCGAATATCTTCCCACCGAATCACTAAGAAAGAGAAAAGGCGGGCTGGCTTGCAACGGAGCTCCTGCGTCGAAGGATAAAATTCCTGAGAAACACGTAAAGCGAAGGGCACCGTTGGCGCCTAATCAAAATAAACTCGTTAATATGAAGAAGTAACGCGATGTCTGCACGTGTAAACTTTCTTAGAGCATGGGCAGTTAGACGATGTATTTACTAAATACGAAAAGTTAATCAGCACAGTGATTAAAAAATGCGAGAGCGTTGGGAGAAATTGGTTTGGGAATTTCGGGGTGTATAATACGAAGAATGATGAAAAAATATGGCACTACAAATCAATCCTAACCGATGATTTACGTAACATCATATGTAAAGTGTTAATAATGAAATTTCAATATCTCATTATTGGACTACGGATGTTTACGTATTTATGACAAATGAAAGTATAAGAATGAGCACAAATGCAAGTCTATAAAATATCAACAATAATCTGTATATTACACCATTTAGGAGATAAAACATACTATTATTTAAGTTTCAATTTGTTTCCTGTATCTGTGAAAATTGAATTGCATAGACATTCTGCTCATTATTTTTTAGATTTTATCATGCGGCTTTGTAACGCGATTATACATCGGTGCAATTCACAGTCGCTGACAATTTCTTATTTATTGATAATGTTTGACGACTAAAAGTTTGCGAATTACTCGAATTATTAAAACGACAAAGTCTGGTAGGGTTGATTTGTTGATAATCTGTGTTACACTTTTGATTTATTCTACGAATATCGTACATTCCTAGAATCCTGAAGTTTCTTTGATATCTTGTATGTGGAAACAGCATTCACCTCGTTCCTAAATAAATGGCGAGAAGAATTTTTAACGAAATTACTCCAAAGATTATTTTAATTGCAAAACAAATATTTGCTCTATATCTCAGTTCTTCCAAATTCATTTACGATTTTCATACTTTTATCGTTTTTTTATTTTTATTTATAAATAAATGTTTAATTTGAAATTTTGCAAAAATTCGAAAATAGATCATTGATTCTTTTCGAATTCGCCATGGGAGTGCTGTTACCTGATAAAACGTGTTTCAATGATAATTTATGTTTAGACCTAGTCATGTGTAGCTTTACAAAAGACTTAGATGTGTTCGATAGCGTTAAAAACAATTTTGTTCCCGAAGTTGCGACGGTGTTTACCGCGTATCATGACATTTATATTTAAAACGAATTTAACTTGTAATGTACGAATAACGCGATTAATCGACGAGATTGTTTACTAGTGTCCCAGAACGTTGAATAATTGCGATAACATCTCGATTAGTGGCTATTATGAAATATTTGTTAAAACTTGCAACCAATACATGTGTCAAAAGTACAGCTTGTATATAAAATTCTTATAGAAAGAATAATAATATATTAAATATATATATGTTGCGCCTTAAAACACGAAATTCGTTTATTTATTCACAACACAATTACAAAGTAGCCTTTTCGGTATTGTCCTATCGAAAACAACGTTTCATTGTTTCAACTGTAATTACAAATTAGAATTGCAAATTGACAGTTGCAATTTACATTCGAAAACCAACGAGACGGGAATGTAAAAAGTAAATGCAAAATTTCATTTAGATACATTCTAGAATTTAGACAAAATGGCAATAAGAAACACACATACATCAAAGGGACGCCTTTTTTAACAATCAGAACGTGATCATAGTGAGCTAACATATACTGTCCTTCATAACATATACTGTATCTGTCAATACAGATGAATAGACAACAATATATAATACCACAGTATTATGTTCCAGCAACCATAATTAATCCCCGCACGATTTAAGGGGCTTGGAACATCAAAAATTGAAAGAAAATCACTTTTCTTTTTGATTAGAATTTAAGCGATCCTGAACAATTCTACGGAAGGAAAATTGAATTTGGAGCACTAGAAGTGGTAACAAAAAGTTCGACGACACAAATTTAGTCAAAAGAACGCGGTAAAACTGTGAAAATTTAAGGAAATACAACTGACAACTTTCTCGAAGAGAAAACAACGACAGTCAAATTTGCGGAAGACCGGAGACGCGGTTACCTTGTTCACAGGCACAAGATATTGTTTTTTAGGGTAAAGAAGACAATAAATTTCCGAAAAAGCAGTGTTTTAATCGATTTTGATAAAAAGAAATACGATTAGATAATATTTATATCGATAATCCAGCGAGACATACAAATTTTTAGTAATTTTAGTTAGAATTGTTCGGAGTCGCTTAAACTTTAATAAAAAAAAAAGTTAAAAAAAGTGATTTTTTTTTGTTCAATTTTTGATGTTTCAAGCCCCTTAATACACAAACTATCCAGTTTACATTTCTTCCAACACATTCCGGAATCGTCATGTTTGTAAACGATTTCCCTTCATTTTTACGTGACAGTCACGGGACGCCAACAAAAAGTAAGTTTAAAGCTACATACCTGGCATTTTCTCTTTCGACATAGACAAGTAATCAACCAGCACTTAATCATTCAGCTGAAAGATTTCTTTTTTCTTCCAGTCACTCGCAGAATCACACTTAAAAAGCACGCGAAACGGGATACTTTCCAAACAGCACGTTCCAAACGTCGTAGTAGCTCGACGAACCGCTAGATGTCGCTGCTGCGGCGTCTGTAAAACCTTAAGGCAGATCGCGGGGGTAGAAGTTGCCCGCTTGCCACCGTCGCGTTAGCGTGTCGCTGGAGTCGGCGACTGTCAACGCGACGATTGGTCAACGGTCTCGAAAGTGGGGCGCCTAGGGAAATAAGTGGAAAGGATCGGGCTACGCAAGGGGGTTGTGGACAGCAACGAGAAGTGAGAGGGGGTGCAACGAACCCTCTAGGCTCGGTTCGAGTCTACGGAGCGCGGAGTTGTGTTCTAATCATGGCGACACCCGACCCCGTAGACCCAGCCACCCTAGAGATTAAGACCCGTAGCATAGAACAGACACTACTCCCACTAGTAAAACAGGTAAGACAATTAATCGGAAACGTGGAGAAAAGGAACGTTCGTGTGCTCTAATCTCTCGGTATTTTATTCGAGCCGCTTACAGTCCCTGGCCTTTAACCGTGATAGGTTAAGGTCTTCCTACCCCGGCTTTTCTCGATACGTTACGTTCTGTTGCACGGCACTACGTATCACCTATAGAGCAAACGTGTTTGTGTGCGAGTGTTCACGATTATAGTGTTCTTCGTGTGTGTTTGCACGTGCATAAGTTTCAACGTACGCGATCCGGTGCATGTGTATATTCATAGGAAACCGAGTGGACCGCGTACACTCGATAGAAAGTGGGAGAGAGAAAGCACTCGAGGAACGAGAAGGCTGAAAACGTTGAACGAGGACGGACGAATGTGCCGGTCGGTTTTAAGAGTGGGACAGACATATGAAAAAGAGCGTGTTCTCGAGGGATTAAGAGTTACTTAACAGACAAGGAGCGCGTAGTATCAACCATACCTTCGATATCGATTTGATCTTAACGAAAATGCCTTTTTCTGGCCTCGCCAGCCGTTCGGAGTGAATCATTTCGGTTATTTGACAGTTCTCGCACCGGGCGTGTATATATATTTTGCATCATCGAGCGACCGAGCTGCCACGCGCTCGGTGTAACAGATATTTTGGTATTTCTTCCTTCTCTCTCGCTCCCGCCTTCCGTTCATCAGCTTTCTTTCTCCTTCTATCTTCACTATACGTAACTGTATATATACGTGAATATGTATATTTATATGTATACAGGGTGTCTAGTGAGGTAGGTATTTGACTATCTTCGTCCACGTGCTCGGCAAGTCATTCTAAGCAAAAAATGTTAGGAAAAGTATAAGCGTATTTTTGTTAGTCAACTAGTAGGTTGTCCGGAAAGTTTCTTTTGCGAGTTGCACTCAATTATTTGATGTGGTCGTGTTTATATAAATAGACAATCTAATTTCATAGATATTCATGTTGTAACAGTAATAGAGCAAAATGAATCGTGCACAATTCAGTAATGTAACATAAAACATAAACTATTGTGCATGTATTACTTATTAATAAAGTGAAAGAAACTTTTGTGACAACCTAGTATATGGAAAGGGAGCATACAGGTTGGGAAAACCCACATTTTTAATATATATTAAATTCATCAGAATTATTTTTCCACTCTATATTTAATATCCTGCTTTTGAAGTAGTTGACTATCAACCCTAAGTACATCTACGGCGTGTACAACATTTTTTGCTCAGAATGGCCTTCTGAATACGCAAATTGAGTTTAATACCTCACGGAACACCCTATATAATCCCTGACACACAGTCACGTGACCAGTGTTTCGTGCCGTGGCGTCGATTTTGAGCTTTAATAAAGTTTCGACGAATTTTTGCTCTGTAATCGCCACCATGTGTGCAAACGACTGTGGAAACAACACGCAATTCAAAGAAGCATGCCGCGAAAGTCAAAGGCCATTGAACGTACCGAACCTGACAAAATATTTTCATTTAACTCCCGCGAATTCGTCGAATCGATGCACACGGGCGTTTATGAACTAACGTCATTACGTTAAATGCTAGTTTCATTTCTATGTTAAATGTTTTCCAACAGAGGCTCTAGCATTTTCTTTTTTAATAAAACCTAAATGGTATGGAAGGGAGAGAGGTGGGGGATGGTCTCAATGGGCCTGATAGTTTATGGGGATTGTCAGGTAATCAAGGAAATTCGTTTCAGTTAAATGTTTCAGTTAGAGAGTATAAATATTGTCAAAAGTGTGTGTCTGCGAAAAGCACGCGTCGGGAGTCAATATGCAGCGAACCATATAGCAGCGTTGTGCCATTAAGTTTTGCGTGAAGCTCGATCAATCTTCTTCAGAAAGCTTACAAGGATGATGCCACTTCTAGAACTCGAGTATTTTAGTGACACAAAATGTTTCAAGACGGCAGGGAAGACGTCGAAAACGACCAACGCAGTGGACGTCCAACATCGACCCGAAGTGACCAAATTTTGGGCCAAGTGAAGGAACAGTTAAACTGTGATCGCCGTTTAAGTGTTCCATTGATAGCGCAATCGTAAAATTTACTAACATCCGCTGTAGGTTTAATAGTGACAGAAGATTTGCAAATGAGTGAGGTATGCGCGAAGTTGGTATCTTTTGGACTGAGTAATAACTAGTGATGAAACTTGGATGTACGTGTACAATCCCGAGACGAAGAGACAAAGTTCTGAGTGGCACACAAGTGCCTCTCTTGGGTCAATGAAAAATCAATCAAATCAAACGTAAAATCAATGCTCGTTGTCTTTTTCGATTCTAAACGTGTAACTCAAAGAGTTTGTGTCTGTCGGTGAAACAGTAAACGACAAATTTTATTCAAAAGTGCTCGAACGTTTGGCCGCTAGAGTCCACCGCCTCCGAAGGAAGATCACCGATACTTGGATGCTTCGCCACGACAATGGGCCCAGTCACATGTTATTTATTGTGAGAGAACAATTAGTGAAAAAGAAGAACATAGCAGTGCTTCCATCGCCACTTTTCTGTTCCCTCTAATTAAAAGGAGCCTGAAAGGACATCGTTTCGGAACGAAAGGAAGTTCAAGAAGCTTCAACGAGGTGTTTGAACAGTGTTTCAATTTCAGATTTCCAGCGGTTTATGATTAATGGAGGATCTTATTTTGAAGAGTATTAAACAATTTTTCAAACATTTGTAACAAACTCGTTTACTTGAAGGCAATTCCTATATCTATTGGACAAGCTCTCTAGACTCTGTTAGACTGAAATTTTTTTCATTAAAAAACAAAATTTGAAAGCCTCTTTTTGGTGAACTCTTTATTTTTTCTTCAACTTTAATTGCGTAGATTCATTTTTCTGCAACGGTATTGTAAAAGAGGTTCTGTTTACAACACTATTTTGCTGGAAGTTTATAACAAAGTAAATATAAATATAGCTATGTTATAAATAAATCCAGGTATGTCTAACGACGTATATTGTTTTGTTAGGAAATTCTTGATTAACAAAGTGTGGAATAATTCCGTCAGACATATTGTTAATAATTAAAGCAGCGAATAGCAGGAAGAATAATTGAAGCATTAATAGAAATGGCACCTGCAGTAATGCAGGCTTCTATAGAAACACAATTCATTTTCATTTCAAAATCAATAGAATGGAATAGCGTTCGTGAAATACGTGTTCAATGAAAGATGCTTCAGTTTTGTAAGGCAGCCTTCGCATAAAGTGTTGAATCTCTGTAAAATGATACGTATCGAATCTATTACATAAGAAGTCGCGCAAGACGCATGGTAGATATTGTGTCTATTTTTACCATGCACTAAGGAATATTTTGAAATGAGCTGTATACACTCCACCTAGTTTCCAAACTATAAACTCACTATAAATTAAATATTACAGACTTTACTCAGTTGGTCAAATAAAAGAACTATACATAGCAGAGAAACAACAATTTCTTTTGAAATAGTATTTTAACGTCTCAGCCGTATTTTTCAACTCGATCACAGCTTGAAACTAGTAATGTTTATAATAAAAAAAGATATATTTAGAAATAACAAGAACACAAAAAATTATAGTGTTTTAATGTCAACGAGTAATATATATCTTTGTGTAATGTAGTTTATTGTACATGTTGTCACTGTCACAAGTGTATTAATTGATTAATCTGTTTTCAGACTGCTTTTCATTTTATATTCGTATTTGTATTTATATTAATTGCCAATTTGTTGTATAAATTTGAATTGCAGAAATATAATAACCGAAGCTTTGCTTTCCACATTTATAAAATCATTCAACTAATTAGAAAAATCGCATTTGCTCCAAAACCTTCTTAGAATAAATATCGAAGAAAGAGTTACGTCGGAGGGTTACTGCCCCCTTGATCGAATTAACAGCAGCGTGCTTCCTCTTTTAAGCTTTCAAAGAAGGCGTGTCTTTAAAAGGAACGCGAATCGTCGATCGCTTTGTATCTTTGTCATCCCGAATATTCGTCACTTTGCGTACGAAATAGTCTTCAAACAGTAAGCTCGATCCACAAAAGACGTCGTTACAAAAGGCAGGAAAGCAAACGAACAGGTTCAAGTAGATTCTCTTTATTCCAGGACCTATTTAATTTCGTACTTCGTTCGTTTTGCTTTCCATCGTCGTATTTTCGAATGTTTGTTTATGACATTTGCGTGTTGACGAATAATTCATTGTTCAATGAAAGGAATACAAAAAATGTCAATTTCAAGGGATGTTATTGAAAAAAGTTCACAACAAACGACGAGAGAAATTTCGTCTCAATTACGAGCAAGCAATCATTCGTTGTTTGACTAAAATAGGAAAAGTAAAGAAACTGGACAAATGGGTTTCGCATGAGTTGAGTGACGCACAGATGCTTCGTCGGGTAGAAATAGTCAGCTCGTTACTTTGAAGAAACAAGCAAGATCCAATTTTAAAACGCTTCATCCAAAGAGAATAATGGTTACTTTGGGGGTCATCTGAGAGGGACATCTCTTTCGTCATTTTCTGATGTCTAAATCTACAATTCCTATTGCAAAGATATAGAAGAAATGCACTCAAAATGGATAAGAAAGTAATTTACATTGGTAAATAAATAGGAACTATTTTAGCTTTATTAGAATACTATACTTTAATAAATTATATATTGTGTGAAGAAATCGACGCGACAGGGAATATCGTACATAACTTTGAAACAAATTGAGCAAGAGAATTGTAAATTTAACAGAATCTCGTACACACATGTGTGCGCAAGCGTACCAAATGTCCAAATTTTAAGTAAATAACTTCGACTGCAGAAGATTGAGAAAATGCCTCGAAATTGGTCAAAAAGAGCCCTTCAACGATAAAATCAAAATTTAGTCGAACCTCTGGTGGGAGATTCAAACCTGATCGATCGACCACAATTGCAGACCTATCGTGGTAAAAATGATTCCAAGTGAAAGGGAACGAAGTGTCGGTCGGAATAAATCTTTCTGTCGCGCAAAGCGCTATGTCGCGAACTC